GTCAACTTTCAGACCTCTGGGATCTGTTACAGCATGAGTTACTCTTAACAGTTAATTAGCTGGGGCTGTTAATCAAGTTTAACAGGTGTTGAGTAATGAACCGAGACAGGGCATCTGCTGTGACCCACCTCTCACTCTAATCTGGTTAGGGAACCTAATGCCAGTTGGAGCCCAGAATGCTTTGTAGTGACATCCAGCTCTGCATTTTCCTGATGCTTCCATCAGTGCTGTGACATCAAAGAATGGTGATTTTTGTGACAGGAATACATGAGGAATCAGTCCAAAGTTCCCAAAGTGGAAGCTGTTGACGAATAGGTTCTTTTCCTTTACTTTGAAAGCATTTCTTTGCTTAAGTTCATTGAGCAGTTGAACTTTTCTCCATGTTTCTATCTGTTTGCCTTCCAAAATGTAATGAAATCCATTTTAGACTGCTGCTTAACTAGGATCACATAGAGCACTGTTGTCAAAGTGGTAGGAAATTATAGTTTCAGCATGTCATTTCCAGGACTTCTTTGCAATAAGAACTTTGCAATTTCCTATTATGTATTAAATGATTTAGCATATTTAAGAGATCCAGGCTTTGTAATCCATTGTCACTGAGTAGCAGCTTCAACAGTTTGACCTTTCTAAAAGCTCCTGCCTTGACCATTAAGCTGCCTGTTTTTCCCAGCATTCTGCTCACAAAGTGGGCAGTGCCAGTTTGGAGTGTGAGGCCACATTTGGAGCTGGCTGACAGGATTGATAGGAGCACCCTTGGGGCTCACTTTGGGTCAATCAGATTGTTCAGGGAAGGGGAATACTGCTGCTGAGTATGTTCTCTGTGTGTTGTGTCAGAATACAGAGTAATTTTCTATGTTTTCATATGTTTTTTAATATTACTTAGCCTCAATTTATTTGCTGTACCCTTTACAACTCTTTCCAACTTTTGCCCAAAAGCAAAAAGTAACTCAAACTTTAATTTCCTTCCTCTTACTAGATTAATCAGAGATGCTTCAAGCAGAAATGAAGGCTGAGTCATGTTGTGAATATTGCAATTCTGTGATTCTAACCAAGTCTGAGACTTTCAGATGTGTTTTGCCATTAAATGGCAAGACCAGTATAATGTTGTGTCTGTGGCTATTTTGCTCCAGAGCTCTTTCATAATCTACTTTGCTTATGCTGGACATTTTGTATCTCTGTGATCAAATCAGAGAAATGTTTCCACCTATTCACTTTTTCAGCACAGCATGGACTTGTGTATCCAATAATTGGCATAATGCATAGAATTAGTGTGTTTATAGCAAGTGGATAATTCAAAGTTGTAACTAACATTCCTGGCAGAAGAAGCAGCAATATTTCTACTGTTGGCAGTGTTTGACATGTGTCTTTTGATTGGTGTGAGAGATTATGGTGCTCTCATTTATACAGGACTTAAAGTCTGAGATTTTGATTATAGATTCCTGAAATGATCACAGGAATTAGAAAACCCTCTGCAATATTTCCTTACATGAAAACTAAACTTCTGATCCAGTGGGCTTGGCAGGCAGTTCCCACTGAGCTCAGGAGATTTAGGTTATCGCCCGGGAAGTCAGGAAAAGCTCGGTAGAATTGATATAATATAAAGCAAAAAGTGAGGCAAGAAACAAGCCCAGAATAACTACATGGGAATTCTGTATGAGGGAGATGAAGATATCACACAGCTACAGAGAGAGCAGGAGGAAAATTGAATATAATCAAAAATTGTGCTTGGAGAAGAACGAGGATCACATAGACTGTGAATTTTAGGTGATGGGGAGAAAGCATCCCCAGTGTAGTAATGGAGGAGCAGAGCCAGGAGGCCAGAGAACCTGTGCCTTGCTGCTCCCTTGTCAGGATCAGATGTGTATAATGTCTCATGTAATTTTTCTTCTGAAAGGTTGTCAGTATGGAGTTGTGCTTGGCTGTTTAATTAGCTGTATCCTTTCTATATGTTTTTTCTTAATTTTTAGGATATGTAGTTTTCCCTAAAGGGAGCCATTTTGTCTATTATGTACATAAAGAAGTATGGTAAAATTCCTTGGGAAAGCTCTTAATATATGTGCAAAGTATCCATAATCCAAAGTAGCCATATTTCATACATGGATATTTGATATTTCGTTTCCCCTATCCTCAAAAGTATGAAAAGTGATTAGCCCCTATTAAGGACTTATCCAATTTTATTTAAAAATTCTGGTTTGTAGTGCTGTGATCCTCAAGACCCTCTGGGAAATTGCATGGCGTCTCATGACAAGAGTGATATTAACCTGTGCCATTATTGCAAGTAACAATTTTTAGAGCTTCTGGATAGGGTTTTCCCTTTGTCTTATTAATTTTGAGACCTTGTTCATCTCTTCTGCATGGCCTATGTAGCCTTAGGGAGGATTATGATCCTGCTTAACTGTTTGCCATCTTAAGCCATCTGGATAATGATGACTTCCTTTCATTGTGGAGGTAAGACACCTTTAACTTTCAGAAAGAGCAGAATTAAATTTTAGCTCTTTGTCTCTCCTCTGAAAAAAAAAAAAAAAAAAAAAAAAAAAGAATAGGTGAAAACTTGGAAAGAATAGGTCAAACTTGGGATTTCTCCCTTGATGTCATTTTTGCCAACATATATAGTATAGGCTCTCTAGACTCCTTTCCTGCATTCAAAATTAACCTGTCTGCTCCTCTGAGCCTTTAACCTTTGCTCCAAAAGATAAATTACTTCCTGGAAATGTCTGAAAACTGTTTGAATGGTTTTTCCCCCTCAGCAATGTCTTTTCTACAAATGCTTTGGTTAAGTAAAGTATTAGTGCTTTAGTACTTCATAGTTCTGTGACTCTTTAGCAAGTTTAAAATTACTTTTAAGTGATATTTTCTTTCCCTTTTAAGGTTTTTTGCACTTCACCTTTTTGTTGGTTTCAGTTTTGTTGGCTTTAATAACAGGGCAGTACTATGTGATTTTTGTCTTTTTGTGAGTGCACAGTGAAATTGCTTTTGTAAGTAGTCAGAGAGTTCTGTTCATCTCATTTCATACATGAAAACAAATGGTCTCTTTGAAGTTAGATGATCCAGTGTGTGGAAGTCATGCAGGCTCCAGAAAGTAGTTTTTGTTATCCAGTCCTTGCTGCTGATTAACTTGCAGATAGAATAGAATATTTAATACTGCAGCTTTAAATTAAATACTGCTGCAGAAGACAGCTATAGCTGTGGTGTATCACCTTCAAATTCTTTTTAGTGGCAAAGACAGAGCTTTGCAGACTTTTGCAAGTTTCTCCAGAAGGACTTTGACTTTATTAATTTGATTTTGTTATCTTTCTGAGAAGTATGTAATGGACACAGTGGAAATTATATGGATGTGTGGCAGTAGGCTGTCATTCTCTGATCCCAAAATGCACACTGCAGTGTACATAAGGAAAATGTCTTGGTCTATCAGTGCCAGGAATAGAAACTGAAGTTCTTTTGTGTTTCCCCTGGATTTCTGCAACATACATTTTTGATTATACCAGTTCTACCAGGGAATCAGAACAACCACAAGAAACTCCATGTCAAAAGTGCTTACACATAAACTTTTCAAGATTGTTCAAATAATCTTAGGAGACTTCCACTATTTCCACTCTATTTTGGAGGCGCAGAGCTGCCCAGTATTATTAATGAATCAAAGGAGAAACAAAGTATAAACTAATATTAGGATAAATTAAAAGTACAGTTTATTTATAGAAAAGTATAAATTTACAGTTTCATTCAACAGTTGCGACACTGTATAACCATGAAGCTTGTCTGTATGAATTTATCTCTCCATATATAGATATAGATATAGATATAGGTATAGATAGATATAGATATAGATGATATAGCTATAGCTATAGCTATAGCTATAGATATAGATATAGATATGGGTGCAGAGATCAACTGTCCAAAAATCACTTTCTTCTTTCCTACCAGGATCTGTTGCTGAAAATAATAAAATTTTAGTTTCTAAACTTGGTCTGTTTGAAGATGCAAATTTTTTTCCCAAAGGTAACAGTTTCTGTGCAAACTGGGACCCATCAATTATTGTAGGAGTGTGTGCTGATTTGTATGGCCCAATCTAAAACTTCTGCACTGCCTTGATTATATTGATATCTGACAGACAACTGGAAGCAGTGAACGCCCCAGGCTTAGTTACCAGCAAGCGTTCTGGCTTTTGGTGTAGAGGAGAAAATGCAATGGCTGTATTTTGGTTAGGATGCTGCTTCCGAGACTCTGAAAAGGAATTCTCTTTGATTAAACCAGGACTGAGAAAAAAGCTCTTATTTTCTGTCTGTATGTTGGTGTGCATCTGACAGGGGTCAGCTTCAAAGCCAAGACAAAGACATAAAAGACGTATTTGGGAAAGTCTTTTGCCAGAGCAATTCTTGAAATAAATATTGTAGAGGAAAAATAGTTGTGATGCTTCAGCCAGACGAGAATTCATAGAGCTTGAGGGGGGGATGTTGGAGGTGGCTCAGTTGTGTTTCTGAGCCTATTTCAAAGCTATATTTGGCAGAGAGGCACAGGATGCTGACTGCTGCTGCAGGAATCAAGAAGCTGCCTCCACTCTTTCACTATTTGCTTCTCAGTGTGCTTGTGTCGCTCATGGTCTTTGGCAGGGATTTGTTTCAGAATAGTTTTGGGACTGTCTTGAGCTCAGTGTCAGCTGCCTCAGAAGCTCTTTCCTGCACGGCTGTGTCTGAGCACAGCCTTTTGCAGTGGTTACCACGATGCCCACAGCAACACTGACCCTGCACCACATTCTCCTTATTTGTACTCAAAAATTGGTTTATAGTATTCTTATTTGCCTTCCCATTCCACTCCCACGCATCCACCAAATCACTTGTAAGTGATTTGCTTTTGAAGCCAAGCAGAATCATAAATATTTAAAAACGATATTTTAGTATTTTGAGACCTTGTTCAGGTTATGAGAAGAGCAAGTGAAATTTGGAATGTAGGAACTACTGTTAATGACTGCAACAGTAGTGTAGGTTTGTTTGGTTTTTTTTACATGCCAGACTTTGTTTGTTTTAGTGAAGTGAACCATATTATATTTTCCAACAGGAAGGAAGCTTCCGTGGATCTTGGTTTTTATAATTCTTATAATAGCATCAAACTGAACATTCTTACAGCAGAGACATCTGTTTTCACAGTTGCCTTCTGTAGGAAGAGACTTTGTTTTGTTTTGAAATTCATAGTTCATGTATTCTAGCAGATGATCATATTTAAGCCAGATTCTGATTGTCATCAGTACAAATTGGGAATTAACTCAGTGTATTTCACTTCATCTCTCCCAATTTATGTTAGTGTAAAGGAAAACTGAATCTAATGAACTGGCTGTTCTATTTCTGTGTTTAATTGTGCCGACAAGTATTATTTTTAGAGAAATGAGACAATGGAATTGCAGATAGCTCAGAAAGCCCCAGTATTCTGGCAGCTTATCTCATTTATTTTGTCCAATAGAGTGATTAGAAGACTTCATTTGGATTTGACAAACAGTATGTGATATTCCAGCCTTCCATATGAAGCTTTGAGCATGCTGACACATTCCTCTGATCTAAAAAGATGTAAATTTTATTAGAAGATTTTGTATTTGTTCTCTCAGATGCTCCATTCTGTATAGATGTTATAAAGCCTTTAGATTTTGGTATTAGGTGGAAAAGGCTCACTTCCCAGCATATTGCACCTACTGCAGTACATTTTCTAAAACATGAATATCAGTTGTGCTCTGAAAGTGCACTGTGTGAACTCTTTTAAATTATACTTCTAAATCTGTGCAGGCAAATGTTCTGACTTCTGGACTTCTTCAAGGCAAATTTGAGAGCTGTACTTGGTTTCAGTGTGTGGAAATTCAACTATAAACCCAAGTATGTTTGGCTTAAATGGATCTATTTTTCTTTCTGGTTTTATTTAGCTCTTGGAATGGAAATAGATGTCCTTAGTAAATCCTGAAGCTTTTATAGCTCTAGTTTTATCTCAGACAAATTATTGGAAAATGCATAATGCCATTGATCTGACTAGAACTTATATGAGTTTTAAATAGCAAAGAAAATAAGACCTTTAATGCTGAAAACCTCTTCCTCTCTTTTCTTTCTTCCTTCCTTCCTTCCCCAAAACATCAGCAAAAGGAGCTAATAAATGCAATTGATTTATTTTGAAGTGCTGTCTGTCTTTTTCACTTTTCTTTTGAATAGCAGAGTCTGTGCCAGCCCTGGCTCCAGATGTCTGTGAGACAAGCTGTAATATGTTTCAGAAATCCCTGTTTGATGGCAATTGTCTGGGGAGAAAAATGAAATAAGCTTTGTCTTTGCTACAGTAACACTTGGCTCCTGAGAACAGCCTCACAAGGAGAGAGGGCATGTCTGATCTAGGATTAAACAACCTCTGTTTGCAGTTGTTCTGGCATATTTGTAGTAAGCACAAGCAGTGGTGGTGTCCTTCTGCAGCACATGCAGATTAACATCCTGTAGTTGTACCTTTCTTCTGCAACTGCTGGGGCAATATAGCAGAATGCAGTGAACCATTCTGGAGTCTCCAGTCTCTTACAACATCACATTAGAGTTGTGATGTTTTGCTCACACAGAACAAATATTTTAAACATGAACTCTCTACTTGGTGGGCCTTACGTTCCTAAGAACTTGGAATACTGTACCCATCTTTCTTGGAGCTAGCCTCAAATATTTCATTAGAGCAGAAAAGGCCAGAAGTCAAGGTGCTCCCATGCTGTGTTTGCTTTTCAGTTCATGTAACACTTTGCTGGAACAACAAGGTTTTCTTTGCCATTAGCACTGGTTAGTGGTCAGTTCAAACTCTGCATGTACTCTGGTGAGAAAATTCAAGACATGCAATTTCCATGTTGAGAAATTTAAGCAGCATGACTTGTGTTCTTCTCTTGCTGGCAGCATCCTTCAAAGCATTTAAAATTGAAAGAAAATGGAAGGAATTCCACCTGTGCCCAATTTTTAAAGAAAGTACGGTAACAGCAGAAATTATCTAACCTCACCAATCTTGACTTTACAAAGGGATAATTTCTTATTAATGTTTTTTAAGGTTAAACTTGTTCATGTGTGTCAGATATAAGCTAATGAATTCCATGTTCTCGGCTTATGTGCCACATTTAATTGCAGCAATTGGAATGGATTTCAGGAAACCATATTCCCAGTGTCAAGTGGGTTACATTTTCTTGTTTGTTAAATATGAAAAATTCTTGGACTTGGATCTTGGCTCTAAGAGAATCAGTTTCTCTTTCTCCTGAAGTGTGAGTTCCTTCCCAATTTGGCTCATTTTATTTGTTCTTTATTCAATTTTCAGTGGAAACATAGTCAGCTGTAGCCAGAAAAATGAAGGTAAAATTTCTTTAGGAGATTTTATGCATATTTGATAAGCTTCTGAAAAAGATGTCTGTGTGGATTTGCTTTGGTGAAGAACAGTTACTAAGTGCTAAATCTCCAAACAGGTTGGAAAAATATGATACAAGATTTTGTAGACTTGCTTTTCCTAGGAGAAGAATTTGCTCACTGAATGTGGCTTTTCTAATTGGTGTTTTTGTCTGTGTATTAAATGAAGAGATGCTTCATTTTTGTATATGAAATGACTAGATTACAATTAGACAGGCATAGGAATGTAATCATGCTCTACTCTTGAGCTGTGTCATAGGAATAGTACAAAAAAATTAAGTTTTATGTTTGCTACTAGTATTTATTATTACCCTATTTACCTATTGTACTAAAATCTATTTAAATATATATATATTTATTTTAATTTCTGTGAAATATCATTCTTTGCTGGTTTAGAAATAACAGGTTTTGAACCATATTAGACACTGGGTCGCAACCTGTGCTCAGTTGAATGCAGTTTCTTAAATAAAAGTTGGCATGAATTTTGTACTTAATGTAAGAAGGAATATTCTCCTTGCTCTTAATGCAAAGCTGGTCAAGGAATCTTGTTTGAGTAGTTACTGCAAATTGGAAATGCCTTCTATTCCACTTGTCTTTGTTTCTTTGCACCGTAGTTTTATTGTATTACCTCCCTTCCAATCCAGATGTGAATGTGGATCATCTGACAGCACAGTGAGTTAGGGATGTGTAACTTGCACCATTCTGTACCTTATTTCTGCCTCCTCTTCTAAAAGGCTTCCCAAGGGTCTTGTAAGAATTTTCTGGTTTAGTGAAATCAGTGTATGATTGCAGTCACTGGTCTGTTCTGGTCTTTTCTTTACTAAAGGAAGCTCGATGTCCACCCTTCTGGATCCTGAGGCCTTGGAGAACCCATTTTCCTGATATTTCTTTTTGTTCTCCTCTCTAAATAATGTCTTGTATTAAATGTAGGTGCAGAGACGAAATGAAAGTGTTGTAAGAGAAAGCTGGCCTGTTACAGCCCCTGATTGCTGCTGGAAGTGAAATACTGCAGAATAGACCAAATCAAAGCATTGGGAGGTGAGATATGGAGAGAAAACATTTTCTGGCTTATAAAATATCAAGGGAAGTAAACAAATGCACTCTATTTTCCTTGCTATTGAAAGCCAGAATGTCCTTTTTCCATTAGGAGTGTTTTGCTATTCTTTTGGAAATCTCTTTTAATTAAGGCTGTATAATATGTTTCCAAGGATATGAAAGAAATAATTCACCATGGCTCCAGCAGCCACTGTTCCTTCCTGATGAAGAAAAGCAAATATTTCTTATCACTTGGAGAGGCAGCAATGATTAGAAATAGTCTACAGTCAGGAATCAATTAATCTTTCTCTGGACCGCTTCAAAATATTGTTGGCCATTTTGCTGTGTAATTCTGTGGTGTGATGATGCTGCAGCAAGGTGTTGTGATCCTCACTGTGCTGGGACATTGCTGGCAGTAGATCTCCAGCACATGAACTTGGCTGAACCCATTTAAAAATTACTGGGGTGCTACAGAATGTTTGCAATATCATCACAGAAGCTGCTACAGTGGATTTGACACAGAGTAAGGGCATCCAAACAGGACCAGAATTCCTCTGAGCTCCCCAGCTCATAAAGCTGCCTGCCAGCCTGGAGGTGTTGTCAGGGCACTTTTATCCAGAATGAACACAGTCCTGTTTCTGCAGTGTCAGGTGGACAAAGAAGAATGTTTTATTAGCTTCCTGTACTAACAGAGAACTTGCTCAGAGTAATTCTTGGTTGTCCCAAAAAGAGCAGGAGGTGAAGAGGGAGCACTGGGCGCAGCGTCAGTGACCCTGGAACTGAAGAAGAATCTTGTGTGTGCTCCTCAGAAGTACAGCAGGGTTTCAGCTCCTGCCCATGCTGCTCCAGGACCTGTAAATGCCTGCTCAGGCACAGTTTCCCCCTTCCCTCACCTTCACAACCCGACCTGAATTCCTCTGTCTGCTTTTTGGTGATTAGCTTAGTCTCCCTTACAGTGTAGGTTCATCATAGGGAAAAACTGCCTGAGAAGAGGGAAGGTGAGCTGCTAAATATGACAGTGCTATGAAGTCAAAGAAAGAGAATCTATCTTTCTGTATTGCTAAAGGTGATGTCCTTGTAAAAGGCTTCAGTCTGCTTTTTGTTCAACATTTTGCTGAAGAACTGTCCATCTCATTTACTTCCTCACTGCTAACAAAGAGGAGCACTGACAGCACTGGCTCCAGGTGTCTGTCAGGAGAGCAATAAAAGTTTCAGCCATGCCCAGTGAGATTGTGTTTGATAGGTAAAAACAGACAGATGCTAATTTCAAAACTTGACTTTCAAGCAGACAATTCTCTGTACATGAGGTTAAGGAAATGAAAAGTATATGTGACTTATAGAAACAAGTCACTGAGGGGTTTTTTTGTGATTAAAAATATTAAATTAATCTTTCTTTTCATAGTGCTGATCGTAATTTTTTACCAATAAGGCATGTGCATTTATTTTCTGCAGACACTGCAGTTTTACTGTCTTCTTTCATAACAGAGATGTTGGAAATGAATCAAATGTGATTCACTGGCCATACAGTGACTACCTTTGAACAGCACTAATGGCTCCGAGAGCAGGATGTATCGGTATCATCTCTGATGTACAAGCCCTGTAGTCAGTAGGGTTAAAGTAGACAAAAGCCAGATCCCCCATATATTTTTCTCTCTTTTCCTTTGCTTTCTCCTGCTCATCTCCCTTTTACATTTTATTTTTAACTTCCATTTTAGGTCTGTTATGAAAGTGTTTTTTTCAAATTATTGCTTTATTTATATAAAGGTTAAAGGGTTGGCACTGGACTGAACAGCATAGTTTTTGCTTTCCCTTCAGGAAAGCTCTGTTAGGAATTGCTGAAGGACTGCTGGACCTGTCAATTCAACAATTGTTTGGTGTGAACATGGCATCTTCTTGGACATTTGAGATACCTTATTTGTAGTACAAGTAGTAAACATTTTATGAGCATGCTCAAGTGGCAGAATTAACTGGCCTTCAAGTTCATGATGGACCACTCTCAATGGTGATAATCTAAATAATACCTCTCAACATACAAGTAAGCAGCTTCTATATAATTAGATGAAATTGTTTACTTGTAAGGGTATTAAGGCTTACATATGAAAAAGGACAATATTTATTTCTGGAATGCACCCTTTTCTCCCTCCACTAGGTGAATTTATTCTCAGTATGCTATTCTGTACCATGTAATTAAATGAAAATTTAAAGTTTTTATCTGGAAATTGCATTGATTTTCTTTTTGTTCCTTGGATATTCTTCAGAGTGATGGTGCTTGTGGCAAATGTCACTTTATCAACAGTCACACAGTTTCCAGCTACAAAACACCATGAAAATACTCAGAGAAGCAAATAAAAGCTCCGAAGGATTGTTAGGATGGACAACTGCAATACCATTGCCATCAGAATTACCTCAAATTCATTGCATACTCTGTGTATTTTAATTAGTGTGTTGGTGAAATAAATGGGGACATATGTTACCACAGGAAAGTAGAAGGAGATGACAATCCATTAAGCCCTGACAGGTATTGTAGGCTTGAGAATGAATAATGAAAAAAACTGACAGTAATTAAAACATGTTTACTTAAGATGACAATTACTTGAAATACAGTTGCATAGTAAAGACCTCATTATGAGCCAGACTCTGTATGTAAAAATTATCCTTATGCCAAGGGGTAATTAATTTGTTCTGGTAGGTGAGTGATAGGTCACTTGTGGTTCTGTCTCACCTTGTTTACATTTGATGGTAATGGAGATGGTATTGTACTTTGATCTCTCATATACTTTAAGGTTCAGCATGATGGTTTTATTTCTGCTTTTAAATGAAAATATCTTTATGGGTTCTGAGTGAGGACATGGTCAAGTCTTCAAAAGTGTGTGGACTTTCAAACAATGTGTTCTGCATAACACTATTTCCTGTTGCTGAAATAGTTGTTGCAGTCTATTTTTCATCTTGTACCTCCCATGTTTTTACTTTGGCAGAGTGGAACTAAGAACTGTAATTGAACTATTACAGTTTCAGGAGAGCATTTAAGAGATGCAAAAATAATCCAAGAAAAGCATTTGATACATTTTAGAGATGCTCTAAGACAGGAGTTTCCAGGAA